TCCCATATAACGGTAATTTAGAGAAATACAAAATCTTCGATAAATCAGTAAATATTAAAGCTAATTTATTCAAAATTGATGCTTGCAACAATTCTTTACCAAGAAATACGTTTATGGTAAAATTTTGGAAAAGGGCGGGGCACCGCCCACTTATGATCACATATATGTATATCGGTAACCGTCTACCAATTTGTACCAAACTCGGTGTGGTTATTGTGCTTGCCACATAAATGCAAAGCGTTGAAAATTATTGAAATCGGATTAAAATTACGGCCGCTTTTCATATAACGGTAAATTTCAGAAATGCTTGAAACTTCAATATTTCGAAATTGAAGGACGCTAATTTACTCAAAATTGATACCCCCCGGCTTAATATCTGCGGTAGGTTTCGGAAAGGTGAAAAAACATATATTTAATATGTGCGCCGCCCGAACTTAGACTTTCTTACTTGTTTTTTTTCTGTCCTTTAAATACCTGCATTGGTTTCTTTCTTTATTATAATTTTTATTTTGACCAATCTTAAAAAAAAAAAACTACTAGACATTTTGCATTTTAATTCTTAACTAAATTTTCGTGATTTGCTTTTGATGTTACATATATTCGTTTTAATAATTTCAAATGGGGTTCTTTGGGGAATTTATTTTTAGCAAAAATTTAAAAAACAGCAATTGTGTTTACTTGTCGGGCAATATTTTTTTCATAGGGGTATACATTGGCTAAAAATTTCTGTCCCTTCTTTGCTATTAAAGTCAGAGAATAGGCTCCATCGATAGAGATTTCCAGCAGAAATGATCAACGTATTAACGATGCTCAAATAATTAAAAAACTATAGATCCGACCTTTAATAAGATAAGAATTACGTAACTATTTGAGATTCAAATGCTTACAAAAAAACGGGGTGTTTTTTTAAAAAGTAACAATATTCTGATCCGATTTGGCCTGCAGCTACGACTTTGAAAACAGAATTTTGTTCAAAATTTTCATTCCTGGAAAATAATAATTTATTTTCCGTATCCACTTATTTAGCTATAAGCACAAATTTTTCAAAGCAGGCGCAGAAGAAAGTATTAAAAATGAATTGCAAAAACTAAAATCGAAAAATCCTGATGAAGTTACAGATTCCCCAAATTCTGAAACAGCCAAAGGAATGAGAATGAAGAATTCTTTTTAAAAAGCTTTAGAAAAACCTGCTACGTCTAGTTTGGCATATTAGCGCTGTTTAAGCAACGATCTCGCAAGATTCTAATTGTTTCTTAAAAATACTTGACATCCGCATTCGCATCCGCATCCGCGGATGTCAGCTGTTAGACATCCGCATCCGCATCCGCGGATGTCTAGAATTCCGCTTTCGCAACATCCCTAGTACATACATATGTATGTATATTGGTTATGAGCCAAATAGATACCCTGCAAACCATTTTTTCAGAGTATTCTGCATTGTAAAGAAATTTTAAGGAATTCGTTAAGATTTAATTCGATTTTTTGCCGAATTTTCTAAAATAAAATAAATTACGCACACTTCCATTCTTTTACGAAATTTCGGAAGAAAATCTGTGAAGCAACGAAATTAATGCTGCTATGTGAAGAATATCTTTCAGAATTTTTCAAGAATTTTCTTTATTTTTCGTACAGAAATTTCTTACGAGTTCGTGTCAACCACTTCATATAATTTTCTTTGAAAATTCGTAAAAAAATCGTTACAGAAATGAGATACTCTTAAAGATTTCCTTAAGATTTCGGGAACTTTGGTTTGCAGGGTATGTAACGTAAGTTTCACTTCTCCAGTGTGGCCCAGGTGCGCTTACTTTTTTATTCACTCAAGTAATCACCGTTATAGACTTTTTTGCAAACTTTACACACTGAAACTTTTTTATCTCGTATCCAAGTCAAAAAAGCTGAGGAATTCAACGCCTGATTTTTGGACCATCTTATTCCCTTCAGTAAATAAACTATACTAACTAGAAGCAAACTACCGAAGCACTTTATTCAGTATTTTTAGCTTACCTACTTGGATGCCGTTGCATTTAAAACAAAAAAGTAAAACAAAAGGTCAATTGAAAACGTAGAAAAGTAACCAATCAAACAAAAGTCTAACCAATTGAGATAAGCCAACAAATTGTTAAAAAAGTTATTGTGAGTGATTTATTTTTTATAACAAGATATAAATGGCATTCGGTCTCTGCTAGAAAATAATTTATGCAACCTCACATACGCGGTTTTGCATTATCTTGATACGCGGTTTCGAACTTTAAACGACGATATGCTCCGAGGTTTCCTCCACCAGCGCACAAAATCTGCAGTTCGTCTTTACAGAAAGCCCCATCTAATTCAAATGTTATCTCAACTTCAGGTAGCCAGTTAGAGCTGTAAGGCCTTCCCGAATAAGTTCAAGGAGTCTTTAGGAGTTCCTCCTGGAAGAAGTTATGGATCTTTTTGATTACCTCATTCTCTTTGACTTCCGCTAGTGGGCAGAGCTCAGCTCCTAAATAGTTCTGTAGTATATCCTTTACATGTAGCGCAGAAAGGCTCGGAACCATGCAAGCGCATTTGGGGTCCATGTTACGGAACCCACTGCAGAGTTACGATAATTCGGGCTCCCAGGTGGTTCAAAAAAGTTTTACAGCCTTTACTAGCAACCAGTGTCTGACTATGAAGTCTCTGACAGGGTAGGTAACATTCGAGAGATGTGAGTTGCAATTGAGCCATTTGCCCAGAGTTACCCTTATATACTTCACGTCTTCTGATAACTCAATTTCTGTCCTTGTCAATGTGGGTCTAGTCAAGTTGACATTCCTTCTTTTGGTAAATGGGCAATGCTGGCCTTCAGGGAGTTTATTGGCAAGCCCTTTTCATCACACCAGCCTTCAGTACATAAAGATACTTATCGACAACTAAGTGGAAGATCGACCTATCTCAGAAAACTTTACAAGAACGTCCTATTTCATAATTTGATTGAAAAACGCTCTATCTCAGAAAACTTTTCAAGAACACCCTATTTCAGAATTTTGTTCAAAACGCCCTATCTCCTCCCTAAATGAAATCAATCGCATAGTCATGGAAAAAAATTATGGTATTGGAAAAGGGGGCATGGTCCTTCCATATGAAATTAATCGGATACTCATAAAAAAAAATTATGTTATTGGAAAAGGGAGCGTGGCACCTCCCATAAAAATCGAGTTTTTCATACTGCGTATCTCTGGATGTGTTCATTGTAGTCAAGATCTCTGCTCTACTCAAACAAAAGAAATTTTCATACTGCTTATGCTTGAGTAATGAAACATATAGTAGTATAGAGAGAGTACTTAAAAAGGGGGCCGCACAATGGGGCAAAAAAGGTTGCAGTGGACAAATCAATTTTGAGAGCCCAAATATTAACCGATTTCAAGTTTCTCTTTTTTTAATAAAAGATAATTAAATTTCGCGTCGACCTTTCTGTGGCGATTCTTTAAAAAGCTCTGGATTTTTATATATTTATGTTGAATATGAAAGAAAAAAAATTTTACTTGAAATCAATTTCAAATATCTGCAATTATTTTAAAAATTATGCGTAAATATTTTTCCATGGGACACATTTAATTAAAAAAATTATCTAAGCTGTTATCTTTACTAATATATATTTTGGAAGCCGTTTTTTTTGGTTTTTCTTTCTGTTCAAAAAGATCGAGAACAGCTGTACCGATATTTTCGAAATTTTGGACATTGATACACATACATGTTCTAATTTGAGAAATTTAGTTTGTATGGGAGGTGCCACTCCCCCTTTTTCAATAAATCCCATTTTTTCCATGAGTTTGGCGTTGACATTATATATATCTGTACTAAGTTGCAGCACTCTACGAGGAATACTTCCAGAGATATGTTCTGTGAAAACTTCAGTTTGTATGGGAAGTGCCACGCCTCATTGATATATCGAAATTGCTTTTCATCTATTATCATCCTGGGATAGTCTAGATCCCATGTTCAAAATTTCAAAAATATCAGTACAGCGGTTCGCGAGCTTTTCGAACAGGAAAAGAAAACGAAAAAACGGCTTCCAAAATATATATTAGTAAAGATAACAAATTAAATAAATTTGTTAATTAAGGGTGGGTTTCACAGTGCTTAGTTAAACGATTGCTAACTTAACCACCAACAAGAGTTTAACTTTGCATTTATATTCAGAGTCACATAGTTAACTATAAAAATTCATACCGCCTGAAAATATACAAATTCTAAATATCAATACTTTTCTATTCAAATTTGAAATTCGTTCCACAAAAAAATTTCAATTTCACAAGAGTTTAACTATGCGTGCATGCTGGTTTAAACTTTTGTTAACTGAGCGTTGTGTATATAAAAATCAATAGTTAAACTTTTGTCAGTGGTTAACTACGCACTGTGAATTTGACCCTAAATGTGTCCTATCGAAAAATATTTACGAATAATTTTTTAAATAATTGCAGAAATTTGAAATTAATATCAAGTATTTTCCAAAAAAGTGGAAGCATTCAAACGTAACAATTTTTTTTCTTTCATTTTTCCACATAAATTAATAAAAATCCAGAGCTTTTTTAAAAATCGCCACTGATAGGTCGACGCAAAATTTAATTATCTTTTATTAAAAAAGACACTTGAAATCGGTTCCGATATTGTAATTTCTATACCACATGTGTGTCCCAGGCATAAGTTGACGTGTTGAGTAATCATTGACGATTTCTTACGTAAGTTAAGTTAAGTTTACACTAACTAGACTATTACTTATTATATACACACCAGCCGTGCACTAGGTAAACATTACATAAAAATTATCAAAGGTTCAATAGGGCCATAATGGTATTATTTCACTTTCACAGTGGAAAATAAGACCATACGCATGGCCTTGTTTCTCAATGTAAAGTGAAATAAAGCCATACGGCGTCATTTCCTATGGCTTCATTGTACGGCGTTTACTATTTGTCAATAAATTACACTTTCGAAACTCATGACATTGTAATCTGTTCTATAATTTTTCCCTGCAACAGGCATCTGAACACTGAGCATAATTTGGACGAGAGGTCTACAGCACAGGCGCGAGTACAAATGCAAGTCGTATCACAACTGGAAATTCATTTGCAAAAGGAACGTGATCGATTGCAAGCTATGATGCATCATCTGTATTTAACTAAACATCTTCTGGATCCCGATAAGATAGACTTAAAGGTAAATAAACTGTTCAAGGGTTAAACTAGGTCTGTGGTCAAAAGTAGTGACTGCTTGAGTCAACTTAGGACAGAATAGAGTTATGTATACCATTTAGGCAATCTGCAGACGGGTCGTATCCCAGCGGCTCAAACGCACATTACGTAATCGAACACACTCCTTCAACACTTCGAAAGCGGGATATCGGAATGAATCGATTACAACCCAGAATACTTTGCCATAAAAATGGCCGCTTTGTGGTTAGCGTCCTTTACATACTGGTTTTGTTTGTAATCGGAAGGTATGATGTGACCGAAAACCCTTCGGGCTTTCATTACAATTACGTTTCGTTCCTAACTGCCATCCCTGAATTGGCGCGTCAAGCTGAGAGGAACTGTCAAAAATCTAGTTGACCAAATACTTTTTAAGTCCGAAATAAAAGTCCTATGCGGATAATAAACAAACCGCTTATCCAAATTAAACTTATTTGATCTCAAATGAAAAGGATTGAAATAGCTTTTAACAAGGGCGTACGCAGGGAGAAGTTGCCCCCCTCCTACCCTCTTTATCTTCACAACGAAGTCAAAATTTTAAAAAGTCAATAAATAAAAAATACAAAATTGTATGCGTAATGGATTTTTCACAAAGGCCTGCGTTTTTCATCGTTGATATAATGCAATGGAACTGAATTCAATGAAACATCCATTCGATTTTCTCTTAGGCTAAACAAATGCTGGAGCGGAGAGCAAAGCAAAGATAAACGCGAAGTGCAAATAGCCATGAAACGAAAAAAGTGCTGCATAACATACTGAAGCGAAGAGTAAAGAAACGCGCCTTTTGCTAATATAAACCAGCTTTTCGGTAAATAGTTTTATGTTTTTTTTACATACATATAAAGCTATTAAAAACAGCGCGAGTTTTTATTCTAAACTTTTACTGTATATATATCGCGCGAATATTACGGCGCGTTGAAATTATACTTTAAATATACATACGTATATATATATCAAGGGAAAAGTATTTTAATATGCTCTTTTAAATAAACAAATAGTTAATAACGTGTTATTAAAGAAAAATATAATTTTTTATAAAAAACTGGGGATAATTTGGTTCTTTTTGCTTTCCGCAAGAAAGTCTGTGTATCAATTGTGTTCTGCTATAACAAGGCCGATGTTCATCATTACTTTAATAACAATTGCTAAATATTCAAAGTTACCGTTGGTCAGCATATTGCAAATATTTTGGAGGTGCTTAAGAACGACCACAGGAATGCAGAAGCAGTCACTACGGAGTAAGAAACCTCGTATGATTTCAGCCGATCTAGAAATAGAAATTTCTCCACCACGATTTGTAGGTAAACAAAAAAAACAGAAGTAACTCCCCATCGGTCAATGAAAACAAGGACTGGCGACGATGTATAATAACACAATATCTGGATTCACTAACAGCCTCCTATCAAAATGCTACAGCTCGAGAAGTGATGATGAAGTTTTAGATCTAGTTAAAGAAGCAAATGAATTTCTAGCAGCGAGAACTAAATATATTGCCATTCTGAGTGCTTTTCTATGCACAGCAACAGCGATTGAGGGCGATCGTTTTATATAGAGATGGGCAAACTCAGCACATTTGCACTGTGCTGGCAGCGTGCACCTCTGCGGGCTGCAGGGACTAGATGAAGGGGGATGCCAAAGCCCGAGGGAAAAGTAGAAAAGTTGAGCGAGTTGCATCTGTGTGTGTAACCGGAATACGAGGGCAAGTATGCGAGAGTACTTACCAGGGATGTCCACTCTAACAAAGCCGATTCCACCAACTGTTTTGAAAATTACCCCATTTTTAACCCTTAATTAAAGAAAATCACACAATTAGTCGCATGGGGTCCCCAGTGACCCCAATAAAAGTGTTGAAAAAAGAATTTTAAAAATAAAAAAGGAAGTGTGTATTAACAAAAATATTAAATGTCTATATTATTGTTAACTTAAAAAAAGAAAAACATAATTTCGACTCCAAACTTAAAAAAAAAATTATAACTTACTTCTGCCAAAAAATGTTACGTTAGTTCTCGCATGGGGTCAGCACTCAAGCGAGTAGCGACACATGTGTACACGACGATGTTCTAACCGTAACTAAATAAATAAAACGAAATGTATCTTGTCATAAATATTAAAGCTCTTTATTGTAGTTAACTTTAAGAAAGAATAGCATAACTTTGACTTCAATCTTAGATACAAAAATTAAAACTAAAAAATGTTACATAAGTGGTCGATGGGGTCAAGGCTTAAAAGAGTTGCTACAAGTGTGTACATGCCGATATTCTGGCCGTGACTTATTTACGTACCCCGCGTGTACGAATTTGTTATAACATCAGGAGCTGAAGACTTGCTCTAGCTGCTAGTCTCATAAAATTTCCTCCAATCACGTCGTGAGCAGATTTCCCATGTGAACTTGCAACAAAGTACAATTCTGTCATTTCCTTGAAGGGATTTTCATGATTTCAGACCTTTAGTAAAGTTGACATCTTTTATTCATATTGTTTTTTTTTTTACACACCTTTCCTCTTTCAAAAATATACAATTTCATAAAATTTCAATGTCCATTTATCATATTGCTCGAGCGTTAGAAGAACTAGAGTCCATACGCATAAGTAGCCCATTACGCCCATTTGGGTACTTAAAGTTGAAATTATAGACAATGTTTTTATGTAAAAATAAAAATTTTTAAAAATGCTATAATCAAAAAAAAATATAAAAAAAAATATGTTTACTTAATTTTTTTGTTTGTTTTTTATACGCTGCATATTAATGTAAAAAATGTACAATTAAAGCCCATAATTAGACGGAAGAAATACTTTTTTTTCATTAAGTTTCGTTAAAAGGTTTCCAAGATATACCACTTTAAAGAAAGATATGTATGACGTTTTCTTAAAATTTAAGCCCCGTGTAAATAAGCGTCATATCGGCAAAATATGCTGCACGTATATTCATGTCACCTAGACCAGGCCTTCCCAAAGTGGGTGACGCGGCACCTTGGGGTGCCGCAAGCGAAACGCCTAAGGTGCCGCTAGTGGCTAGAGTATACTAGTGGTGCGGGCAAATTCTTTAGACTTTCCATACACAACGCAAGCGGTTTGATCAACTTCAACATGGCGGCCAGAAAATCAAAAAATTTTGATTTTTATTAAAATTACCTTCAGCGGCTGGTCAAACCCCATACACAACACAAATAGCTTGAAACAAAGGGATATTTCGTAGAGCTGGGATACAATCGATAGTACCGCCACTCGATAGTTTTCGAAAAGATAGTTGAAAACATCGATAGTATCGATAGTACTATCGTCGTGAAAGGTATTGATTTGAAACGCTCAATTGCTTGAAAATTAAATAATAATTAAGTTTATAAAATTTATAAATTACTTTGTAAATTAAAGAGATTGTATATTTTCTTTTTAATTTGAGTGCATCAAAAATAACTTTTTCTAATAATAAAATAAACTTTTTAATTTATGCGTCTGAATTATATAACTTATATACATACCCTTGCATCCCCTTGAATAGAGACAGGCAAAATCTGAATTTATTTTTTATATGGCAAAATTAAAATCGGATTGTGTTTGTCCCTTTTAAAGTGCAAAGAAGTGAAATTGGCTATAAAAGAACATTTATAACACTACAAAACAAACAAATTAAAAGATATTCGTTTAAATTGACAACTCATTCTTATAAAAGTTCAACTGAGATCAAATACGGAGGCGCATATCAAAATCCGGACAAGGAAAATTATTAACATTTTACCATTTTATAAGAAAACGAATATAGTACTGCTCATAAATAATAGCACCACAACATTTTTTAGCAGTTTTGACTACTTTTTTTGTTTATTTAGTGTCTACTAATTTTTTATAAAAAATGTACAAAACATAAAAAACTACAATACAATTAAAAATTCAAGCTTTTTAATTCGAATTTCTATAAAAATTTTGTGTAAGCAGTTTTATAGCTTACTAAATTTTACTATAACTCAGTGTAAGCTTATAGTTGCTAAAAATCCCAATGACTAAATTTTTGATGTGTATACATCTTTGGTTTCGGTAGGGGTAAAATTTGCGAAGCTGTAACGCATATCCCAGCACAAAATTTCGAAGGGCTTAGCATGTGTATTTCAGCATACAATTTTTATTTTTATTAGAAGCACCCTGTGTTCGCTTGCCTAATGGTTGCATACATTCAGGCCTATGCATAGTAAGAGGAAATGCGCTACAATTGATTATTAGCC